AACCACCGCAGTTTATTCCAAATGGAAAAAAGATTAGCTGAACTATAATTAAAAAAGTAAACTTTATTGCCAATTAAGCCTTACCTTCAATTACAGAGTAAACTTTAATTGCTAATTAAGCTTTACCTTCAATTACAGAGTAAACTTTAACAAGCTTCAAGTTTACATACTTTGAGAATATAAACAAAGCTTTATTCAAATGAAGTCCATCCATTTGTATCCGATTTAAAATCTCCAAAATCATCCCACTTTTTAGCACTTGGTGGAGGAGCAATAGCAAACTTTGAAAAATCCCCTTCTTCATCCTTCTTTTCTCTCTTAAACCCACTCAAATTAATCTCAATCTTTTGTCCTTCTTTTAATGAATAATCAACTGCTTCGAATGTTGGTTGCTCTTGGATTATTCCTTTATTTCTTATTCGCCTTTGTTAATTACTGTTACTTTTGGTGGTCTTGTAGAGCTACATTCATATCAAATGCATAAGATCGTTCTTGGAATCCCAAACCAACAAATGCGTATTGGCCTGTTGGGGCAACAACTTTAATTGCAAAATAACGGGATGAATCTAGGACTGGCTCTACAGCACCATCGGTTATTGGACATTTTGCAAATAGCTCTCCTGTGGTATTGTCTTCTAAATGAAGTGCGCAGTCGTCTCCCACTGATATTATTCGTAATCTTCCTGTCCATAGAAACGAATTTACATCCCAATCTGATGCTCTTTGTTAGTGTATTTTACTTGTATCCTTGAGCTGAATTTCTTGGTGGAATTTTGTAAACAAAACATTCTCGAATAACACACAGAACTGATTCCATTTCAAGATTAGAGTTAAACGTGGCAAAGTTAAAAATAGCAACTTTTTTATTATCAAAATACTAGAGCTCAATTAGTGGGGCTTCTTGAGGTTTGGCTGGAGAGGAAGGTTGCTGAGGTTGGTTTTGAGGAACGTTCTGGTTATAACCAGGCTGGGAAGGGTAAGCTTGATACTGAGGACCATTTGGATTATATGGATGGCTAGGAGTATCACTATATTGACCTGGTTGTGGTGGATAGTTAGTATATTGATTTGGAGGATATTGCGAGTTTGGTTGTCCGTATTCTGTATTTGGTGGCTGAGATGGTCCAAGCTGGCTGTTTGGTGGCTGATATGATGTATATTGGCTGTTTGGAGGTTCAGATGGTGCATACTGTGCATTTGGTGGCTGAGATGGAACATATTGACTATTTGGTGGTTGTGCTTGAGTATTTGAAGGTTGATTGGGAGGAGGTGATTGCCCAAACTGTGTAGTTGCACCCGGTTGTGAAGGAGAAAAGTGCTGACTTGGAGCACTATTGCCAGATGATTGAGTATTACCTGGTTGCATTGGATATGAAGAGGGATTATTTGCACTGTACACACTTTGAGGAGGATATTGCTGTTGATTTGGCCCTCCAGCAGGATATGGATTATTTACTGGGCCGGAATATGCTCCATAAGGTTGTGCCGGATTCGCAGGCGGGAAATTGCCAGCTGCCGGATAGCCTCCTAAACTAAGTTTCTTTTTACCATAAGGATTATATCCGTATTGCGGATTCGGGTTAGAAACATATCCACCAGACACACTTTGAGAATATTGAAGCCTTTGTTGCAATAATACATCATAGTCCTTAATTACGCTGGTCAGTTCTGTATTCAAGTCATACAGGGCTTTGTACTTGTCAGCAGCTTCAGATAAAGAATCAACTAGTGGACGATGCAAGGAAGCCACCTTGGCAAACATTGTTTGTAAAGGAATAGGGTTTAGAATGCCAAATCCACCTTGCTGGACATCTCTATCTGCTTTTTCTACGAGATCACAAAATACTCTGACACTTTCGATTTGCGATTCCGTCAGTCCGCCAAGCTTGGCTTCTTCTTTTGGCTCTTCATATCTCGATTCTTGTACAGGCTTTGGTCGCATTCTTTCTTGTCTCTCTGCTTCTCTCAGGGATTCCTGGATAGCTCTTTCCAAATCTTCATCTTCCTTTGATTTTGCTTTTGGTTTCTCTTCTCTTGGTCTTGGTAATGAAGTTGATTTCTTTGCCAACTCCAAAGATTCTGCAATCGCTTTGGCCAAATCTTCGTCGTCATCAGAATCAACTCTTGCTGGCTTATTCAGCTTTACAGGTGTAACTACTTCTCCGGTCTTTGTAGTAATCTTGTAATGGCAAGTATCGCATACTCTAACTGGATCTGTTATTCCCAACAATGGCAATGGGATACTCTTTGAAGAGCAATCCTGACAAAAAGTAGAGCCGCAATTTCTACAATGATGTTTTCTATTAAAGGTTGTGAAATCCGTTCTACATCTCATACAATAACTGCTGTCAGTCCATTCTGGCGCCTAGATTAATCCAGATCTTACGGTAGTGGTTTCAAACAAGACCGCTAATGAGTTTGTCTTTTCAATAGGAGGAAATTGCAGCCCTGTATTAGTAATTTAGACCTTCTCTTTTGAGCATATCATAAGTTTCACAAACAATAACAAATTCGGATCTTCCTTTAAAAGCTACTGCCCAGGTCTGAATCAATTCCAACGCCTTTTTCCTAATTTGCTCATGCGTATTCTGTATTAATTTGTATTACTAGTTGACGGACAAGGGAGACTAAATTATCGATAAAATCCCGAGAAGTAACTTCTTGCAGCAGTAATTTCCCGCTGTTTTTTACACAGGTATCTGTTAATTTCAAAGCCAGCAATGTCACATTTGGATTCTTGTGATTGATCCGCTTCTTTATCGATGCAACGTAATTCTTTGGAGTAATCTTTCCTGATTTGATTTTATCGGCAATGTCCAGGTTAGTTGCGAGGTCTTCTGTTCCGATCGGGAGGTTTTCTGAAGTCGCTTTTTCTACATAAGTAATTATTACCAATGTCTTCGTCAGCTGGGTTTGCAAAGAGATTCATTTTCGTAGTTAACAATATCAGCCACTTTCTTGTGAAACGTGCTTTCTTGACTGAAATTTTTTTTCTCAAAAATGATTATTTACAAGGACATTATCTCTGGGGATGAAATGGCTTCTGATGCTTTCGAAATCCACGAAGTAGATGACATTGCTATCGAAATTGATTGCAAGGTATTCTCTTATTAATTCAGAACATCACCATCATGCCAGGTGCTGATGTCGACATTGGTGCAAACGCTTCCGCTGAAGAACAAGAAGAACAATTGGAAGATGGTGCGATCACTGTCAACAATGTTGTTTACACCTTCCGTCTCAGCGAAACCTCCTTTGACAAGAAATCATACATGGCATACATCAAGGGATACATGAAGCAAATCAAGGCTTACCTTCAAGAACACAACCCAGACCGTGTTGCTGACTTTGAAGCCAAGGCTCCTGCATTCGTCAAGAAGATCCTTTCCAACATTAAAGACTATGAATTCTTTGTTGGTGAATCCATGGACCCTGAAGGTGCTGTTGGTCTCTTGAACTACCGCGAAGATGGTATCACTCCTTACATTACTTATTTCAAGGATGGCTTGAAGACTGAAAAGGTTTAAATATAAATTTTTTTTGTTTTTATTTGCTTGATCTGCCCAATTATTACTATAATTAATGATTGACTATGGATAGTTAGTCCTGATTTATTGAAAAGATTGCTTTTGAATTGAAAGTCGGTGCTCTACTAGTTTCGATAGAAAAGAAATCATTGCTGGTAGCAACAAGTACATTTCAGCCGAGTCAGCAGCATCGCATATACTAGGTACGACAGCAGTTACTACTGTTAATGAGACTTACCTATGCTCTTAATCCCCATCTCATTATGCTTTTCATTCATTACCACGGATGTCAAAAGATCAATCACCCACATTATTAGATTGATTTCGGCTGAATTATCCGCGAATGATAGGATCAACCTATTCCAGCACAACTGCGGCGACTGGGTACCGTAAATGATATCTTTAGGGATCTTTAGAAAAGGCGCACTTTGTAGGGTTTTGAGATTGTTCTATCTTAGTTAAAGTTACTTTGAGACAAGAAGCAATTGCGTATCCATCTTTGCAAGAATAATATGTTCCTCTTCGCAAGTGTGTTTCCAATGCTTGGATTTCCCACGATTGTCCAGGCTCTCTAAATATACCCTTCAGTTTTATTCCATCTGCTGCAAATAGCATTAGCCTCAGCCTAACTAGAGTTTTTGGTATGCTAAATTAACAAAGGGTACCTGTAAGTTGAACCTGGAAATATCGCATCTCGTTGATTAACATCCATTTCCATTGGTTGCGGCGGTAGTATCTTGTTGGTATCCCTTTTCCTACACTTTACAACGACGTAATGTCGAGCCCCACTCTGAATTTCAATTTGAATAACTGCATTTAGAACCACAGCAGAATTATTCAGACAATTCAATTTCACAACTAAATCTACTTCTGGCTGTCTTCCTCCTAGTTTTCCTCCCAATGGTTCAACTTGTAATTCAAAATTAGCATCAACTTTTGGCATTATCAAGGAATATTTGACTGTATTTTGATTCTTGACTTTAATCCGTATACTCTTTGTTTGAAATCTATTCAATTGATGTACAAATACCAAGGTATAACTGTCCAATTCGATGTCCTGAGCCAATTTGGGTCTGGTTTTTTGTTGAAAATCAACTAAAGCGCTTGGAGTAAGTGAAACAAGATATCCATACAGTTGCGCTTGTTCTTGCGGTGTAATTTCTACACTTGAAGGTCTGCATTAGTTTGTAATACCTTCTCATTATTTCTGCATAATCAATCATCTTTGGCAATGATCTCCTTGTCGTCAAAGGTGGAGTAGATGACTGTTTTGGTGTTGGAAAGCTCTCCAGTAAATTTAATATTGAAGTATTTACATTTTCATCCTTGTTCATTTGTTGATATTTTCGAAACTTTGAATGGCGCCAAAGTAGGCGTCATCATTTTCCCATAAAAAAGTTGCAATTATATTCATTGGAGTAGTAATTCGTAATTGTTGATGAAAAAAGATATCGGCGATTAGGCCAGATTTTAGGGGCTAACCGAGACTCGAACTCGGAATCTCTCGCACCCTAAGCGAACATCTTGCCCTTCGACCATTAGCCCTAGAAAAATTTTTAAAAGTTCTCTTTATCAATATACCTTTTTTTATACTGAGTGAAATATCTAGTCCAACTCATCCAATAGAAGCCAATATACACTCACCTAGAACCTTATCTAACAGTTCGCGTAGAAGGTAGATCTGTAAAACGATAAATCCAAACTGGTCTTTACTGGAATTTATTAGAAAATTGGTATATTAATAATTTCGAGTAGATGGTCGTTCAAAGAATTCACTAGATTGTCGTGTTACAAAAATGCCATAGTATATAACTGTTTCAACCAAATCTTTGGATTCAAGTAATTGCAGCACCGAATAGAACTGATTCATTTTCTGAAAGGCCCTGCTAAAGTATTTAATGCCTTCCATAGTATCTTTATAAGATGATTCGCATTCAGTGATCCCTAGCTTTGAGCAACATAAAAGGAAAAATCCAGTGGGGAAGAGCGTTAAAAGCGCAGCAGTAGCAAAAAAATCCAAGTTGGGGTTATACTTTTGCACCATATTCACCAAGATTGAACCAGTAATAGCTGCATCATATGCATCGCTAAAGTATAGTATATTTCTTACATCTTTTCCTCTTATCACATTCCGCATAAGGTTGGGTAGGATCAACTTTACTCGTATACTGTAATAGATCAAGGCAATATAAAGAGAGAACCAAGTATTTTCTACATGAGCAGAATTCCTAATAGCTGTCATGGCACTCTGAAGAAATGGATGGAATTGATCAATCCAATCGTTCAAGGATGCATGAATTGCTCCTGCGTAATAAGATGCTGTGTAATCTTCTCCAGATAGCTCCATATCAAAATGCCGAAAAGCTTTTAGTTGAATTTGGTGTAAAATAGCGTGATAACTATCAATATCCAATCCTGTCGCTATGGCAGTGTACCATTCATCACTTGACATGACTTCAATACCAAAATAATCCTCACTTGTCGGAGATTCAAAGTAGTAATTTGATTTCGGTAGAAATATTTGATTTTCCGAGTTCAAAATGCTGCTAAACCCTAATAAATTAGAAAGGAATGAAAAATCTCGGAATAGTAACCACCATATTCTTCGAATATTCTCTCTTTCATAATCAAACGACGAGATTCGGGATATTCCTCGTTCAGTGTTGATTTTGGACAGCTTTGCATGGTGTAAAGCCAAGCGAAAGTAAAGAATTGCTTCGTGGGTGCTATTTATATCTACGTTAATGTTTCAGCTTACTGTAACAAACATTGAAGATTATTTCGAGCGTTAGTGTGGTGAGGTGGTCACATCTGGTCGCATAATTAAATGATTGAGCTTTTTGCAGGTATATGTTTACCAACTCTATCCGATCAGTGATACCTTTGGGGAGTTGATCTTGTGAAATGAACAGTGCGCCGCTTGCGTAAAGTGCAAATCGTAACGGCCAAAATATTTTTGAAGACTGACGATAGTATTGCTCTGTTATACCATAAATTGCAGTAGGGAATCGCTTGAACCTTAAATAGAGTAAATGCTCATGGTTTTGTTGAAACAGTTCCTTTTCCAGGGTTTCAGGTAACACCACTAATCGAACATCTGGTCGGACTTTATCCCTCATTTGCAAAAATCGGTTGTTTGGTTTTATAAGCGATTGTTCCATATGTTTGATTCGTTCTTCAATGTTGTTCAATTGCTCCTCGTATTCTTTCTGTTTTGTGTAATAACAGTTCAACCTCCTGCTTTCGCATAACGAGCACGGTTGTTTTCGATCGCATTTGCGCTTCTAAATTCAGGTAAGGCTTACCCTTTTTGTACAGAAATCACAAGCAAAAGTAATCTTTCGGTACATCATTTTATGGGAAGGGGTGAAAAAATGGACCAGGAAGAGGAAAAATTAAACCCTCTGGATTGGTATTGCAAATATCAGTGCTTTGGATATCAGAAGCGCTCCATATCAAGACTGTGAATGGAATGTGTTACTGTTGAGCGGCGACCAAAGTTGTTTCTAGAATATCCAATCGTACAAAGACAGTCTTTATTTATTCAAATGCCGTGCGGATGGTCTCTCCATCAATTCACTATTTTGACGAGTAATGAATATACCATAAAATATCACTGCTTCTACCAAATCTTTGCTTTCCAGTAGAAGCAGGATACTGTGAAATTGTCCGAGTTTTTGGAACGCTTTGCTGAATATTTTGATTCCGTCAGATAATAATTTGTAATTCTCCTCTGCCTTTGCGATTCCAAGTTTAGTGCAACAAAGGAGGAAGAAGGCAGCTGGAAACAGTGTAAGTAAAACTGCCACTGCTAAATGCTCCAAGTTTGGGTTGTGCTGAGTCACAATTTGAACTAGGTTGGTACAAGTTATAGCTGCATCCAAGGCTTCTTTAAAGTACAGTTGCTTTTGAACATTTTTACCTTTTATAACATTCCGCATAAAAGCAGGTATGATCAGATTAACTCGTATACTACAATATATAAACGCAACATATACAACAAACCAAGCAGTAGCTCTGTGCTCTAACCACCGCTGTCGGATGATAATGAAGGCTTCCTGCAGTTTGGGAGAAAATAAATGCATCCAATCTAACAGAGACGCATGAATGGCACCAGCACTATAAAAGGAATTTACATCGTTATCTGATAGTTCAATTTCAAATTGGAGAAACATTTTGGACTGAATCCTTTGCAAAAGAACATGATATCCATCAATTTCTTGACATGAAAGGTTGCATGTATACCATTCGTTGCTTGACATAATCTCCATCCCATAATAATCACTAGTGTGCGCTGATTCAAAATAAAACCTTGCAGATGGTAAAAATGTTTGATTATCCGCATCATTGATCGCTCCGTAACCCAACATATTACACAATAGAGTATAGTCTCGATATAATAACCACCAAATCCTTCTTATGTTCTCTCTCTCATAATCAAATGTAGTTATTTTTGATATCTGGCTTTCCTTATTAATACCAACGATAAGTGCTTGTTGAATCGCAAATTTAAAATACAAAATCGCTTCTTCAGTACTATTTATATCTAAATTAATCCAGATTACGATAGCAAATATTTGAAATGATTTCCAAAGTAAGGATTGTTAAATGGTCGGATTTTTCTGCATAATTGAATGACTGCGCTTTCTGGAGATATATATTAACAAGTTCAATTCTATCCGATACTCCTGGCGGCATCTGTTTCGGAGTGAGAAATAATGCTCCACTTGCATACAGGGCAAATCGAAGTGGCCAAAATATTTTTGCAGACTCTCTGTAGAATTGCTCCGTTACACCAAATATTGCTGAGGGAAATCTTTGAAATCGAAGTTCTAGCAAATGATTTTGAGGGGTTGTAAATAATATATACTGCAATTCTGGAGTAAGTGTGATGTGCTTTATCATTGGTCTCACCTTTCCTCTCTTTTGTAAAACGGTATTATTGGGATTCAATAGATTTTGCTCCATTTGTCTAATTCTCTGTTCTACACTCGCAAGGTGTTCCTCAAACTCTTTCTGTTGAGTGTAACTGCAAGTGAGGTGTTTGGTGGTGCAAAAAGTACAAGGCTGCTTGCGGTCGCATTTGCGTTTCTAGATCAAACAAAATTTACTCTTTTGGTGCAATAGTCGCAGGAATATCTCAGCTTCTTGAAAATCATGGGCGGCTTTTGGTGGAAAAAGGTTTAGAAAATTGTGTAAGTGGCTGGTTATCAACAGACAGATGACCTGGAAAGATCGGTTTGACTGACCGGGTTTAAAAAATAGCGCTGTCCATCATTGGAGGTAGACCCAGCGTGATATATCCTGGGTATTTTATTTGCCGAGGTATTTACTTGAAAATTCCATATGGAAATGCCAATCCTTTAAAAGCCTGAGATTCAAGTTTGCTCACTGGTTTGAAAGATGAGTGGCTTAAACTCAGCTCTCTAACAAAAGGTATAAAACCCAAACGCTTTCTTACAATGATCTAGGTACTACTATTGGAACAGGAAAAAATCTATGTCGGATACACTGCACGACCACTCGGTGAAAGATACATTGAGCATTTCAAGAGTGCAGGCTCTGACTGGACTAGGAAATATCCTCCTCTTCAAGTTTTAGAAATACAACCTGGCGGAAGAAAACGAAATTACGTTAAAAATGATGGTTAAATATGGCTGGTGGGATGTCAGAGGTGGAAACTGGTGTCAAATGGAGATGAATACATGCCCAGCTGCTCTATTAAAACTCCAACAGCTTAAATTGCCAAAGTCAATTCCAAATCAATCCAAGACTGAATTAAAGTCAACTCCAAATACCCCTTCTAAAGAAATCGTAACTGCGGAAACTAAGTCAGATCAATACACCGGTTCCAAAAAGTCTCAACCTTTCTGAAAAGCAAGCAACACAAACAAATACAAAAAAGACAAATCTCACACAAACTCCAAGTAAATCACGAAAATCATACAAGGATATGAACTGCTCAAGATGTGGTAGGAATACACACGAGAGTAATACTTGCTTTGCAAAAACTGACCTCCATGGAAGAAGTTTGGAGAGTGTCAAATCAGCTAGTGATATTATTCTTGATTTTTTTGGGATAAAGCTTTCGATGAATTCAAAAGGGTCGGATTCTTGTGAACGCGATAAAAGTACTTGTACTCGTTGTGGGAGGGATAATCACACCAAATACAATTGCTACGCAAACTGGCATGTTAGTGGAAAGCTGTTGGAATGATGTAAATAAAAAGATTATCATCGTTCAAATTGATTGTCCAACAAGATGATTGAATGTTGATAGCACTTTATTTGGTCTTGGAAATTAGAAATGATCTTTTAGAGATTTAGACCAAACAAGTCTATATGATACGAAGCTGGCCGTTCAATCAGCTCTTTCTTTTGTCTTGAGATGAATATCCCGTAATATATCACACAATCTATGATATCCCTTTCTTCGAGTAAAGATAGGACAGCGTAAAATTGATTCATCTTTTGAAATGCCTGATTGAACTGTTTGATAGCACTCAGTAGCTGTTGGTAAGGCTTATCCAGACGTTCCATTTGTA